GATTAAACAAGTAGAAATATCATGGGAGAAATTTTCGATAAAGATCTTTTTCAATGTCACATAGAGTACCTCCTACTGGTCAAAAACTCTGATGCCGTGCATCCATTTAGCAGAGTGTCCATCCATGTATCACAATGTGATAATATCAAATATCACTATCCAACAGATTTTGATTGTTATCGATTATTATCGGTTTTCTCCCATTTTTTTGTTTCTCCATGTATTTAGATGGTAATCTTAGTCAGAAAGTTTTTCTTTTTCTACTTTTTATTAGTAAAATATATTCTGAATAAATACAAGAAATGTAAATGTAGAAAGAAAATTTATTTTAGTTTATCATATGAAAAGAAAAATTCGAGTAAAAACAAGAGTTTTTAGTCATTGTATGATTATTATCGACTAATAAAAACCAGAAACTTGTTCGTACAACTAAGAAAAAAAAACAAAACATTAACAGTAAAGTAAATTATTTTCTCGTGCTTTTCCAGGCATTTACTTTACTATTAGTCTTTTATTTTTCTTGCTTATAACAACAAGTTTCTGATTTTCTTTTTGGTTGATAATGGTCGCATAATGTCTGAAAATTCTCGTTCATTTTCATTTCTCTTTTCATATGATAAACTAAAATATATTTTCTATCTACATTTATATTTTTTGTATTTGTTAGGAAGTAAATCTCAAGATAGATACTCATCTTTCTCATACACTATATATGCTGAAATTGTTTTCTTCTCGGTTAATTTGAAGTATTTCTAATAAATAATATCAAAGTTAGGGTAGAAAATATACCACAATCTAAAAAAAACGATGAGAGCCTGTAGCATCTTATATCAAAATCAGAAATTTGATGTTCATGTCATATTTGTTTTCTACTAGTCATATTAATAATCAAAACAGTATATGTTTCATATACATTATTTGAATTCAATATTCTAAAATTATTCTTTAATTAGTATGACGGTAGATATTTTATTTGAATAATGAAATCCATTTATAGTTATAAAATAAAAATATTGTTTTCGATTATAATAGCGAACATGTCTTACAATAAAGTATTGATAAATAAATTTTCGTTGATTCATTGATTAATTTATATAACATAATGTGATTAAACACTTATTTTTTATTTATTTGATGACCTACATCTATCAATTTATAATATTGCAATATTTTAGCTAGTAAAAAATTATAGATTTTATAATTGTTCTTGAACTTAAATGTTTCTTTTCAAAAATAATTATTGTATAATAGAATGAACAAGTTCAGTTTTACTATAAGGTTGATGTGAGAGTATGTGTTTGGTCCTGAATGGAAATCTTCCCCCAGCCTATATATGCACTTTTATGCATCAATGAAAAATATAAATATGACATTAGAAATTCGTCATGAGGCTGTAGTAAAAGTTTAACCACAAATGTCAATAAAACAAATCACTTTTTCTTTTTAGAGTTTATTTTTTCGCAAGATTGTATTTTTCTCACTGCCAATTACTCTTATTTAGGTGCGGTAAATCTATCATATGACTGATCCTTGCACATTTTATTTTTACTATTGACCTAAAATATTGTACACTTCACATGTTATGCACGTACATCGATATATGATATCTTCATCGGAACATGAGAGCATATGGAAACGATGTATTTTCGTTGAGCGAAGACTTTGAGATAATGAAATAGATGCGTAGCCGTGTTGTTGATCAAATTTCAACAATGACTGATTTAAACAAAACTAATTTGTTTATTTTCAAACAATTAATTTTTCAGAAATATTTCCTAGTGTTCGAAATGGTTGAAATTTAGTCATTACAAATAACTGAAATTCAAAGTACTTAATGTTTAAGAAAAAAGGAATTTTAGATACGAACAATTTTGAGAATCATCAAACGTATGGCTTATATATTTCGTCAAGGCATATTATTCTGTGATTGTCTTTTTTCTTACTGCAATTCAGCTTAATCTTTGATACTTCTTGCACGAATTCATTCTCGACTACCTTTTCCAAAAAAAGCAATCTATACATTGATGAACAACGAACAAAAACGCAAGTTTCCCTTGTCATAACTGAAAAATTATTTAATAATAATTCTATAAGTTTTTTTTACTCCATATTCTAGTAAACCAAAATTCATGTATAAAAAAGACGCAGTAAGAAGAGGTTTTTACTTGAAAAAAATCATTCTCGAAGTTCAATATTTTCAAAACAGATTTCATTCAATTTGACTTTCTAGAAGTTCAATATTGAATATCATTTATTTCTGAAGACATATGTACAAGTATCTACAAAATTGCACATCGTTTTTCCAATTCATAAAAACAATGACGACCTATTTATCAATGAATGTTTCGAAAATTGATTTCGATTCAATATTTTGATTGATTACTAAGAATAATTAAAAGATTTCATCAATCTTTATCCATATGTTTATCAGTTCATGTTTGCACAATATGTCTATGAAATCGACTAATCAAATATACACTAACCCCCGATATCTCCATTACTTCCTACATTTTCATTAGCAGAAACTTCAACGCGGCATTGAATATTCATCAAAGATATCATGTATAAATCAAAATAAAGATTTCTATTAAAGGATTCTCATCGTAATTTACTTATCTATGCTAGTTATTTTTTCGAAGCATCTGGGTCGATAGACTCCACTTATAGAAGATTAAAACTCAAAAAAAATCTGGTAGATTCAATAACTTGAATGTCATTCGAAATTCCATCTAGGAATTGCCTACTTTAGGTTTTCTACATTCGTATTTCAACCAAGAAAAGCATATCATATAAAGTAAATATATTAAAACAGAATACGATGGGAGAAAATTATTCACAATAGACACTTATGACAGCCAAAATGTATTAATTTGAATCGGTTTTGATTAACATTTTGCGGTATACAAGACATTCGATGAATGCTTTACAATTTAACATGATCAGACAAATTCTTTAGTTATATTTCACTGAACTTCTGAAACTTGATTAAACTCAACACGACTGTCGAATATAGCTATATGCTAATTTAAACCGAACCTTTTACTCTGGTTCCTTCTGCACCATGTTGCACAGTTGATTCAAAACCAATAAGCCACATAGATATCCATTTATATTATTTAACTATAGAATAAAAATGGATAATGGTATTCATCTGTAAGAACTACCAATAAAATATAAAAAACAAATTGATAATACAAGAATGAATGTGGGTGTGGGTGTTTGAAGAAGAATAACCCACACCCCACATAGGACAAAAACAGTAGTGTAATCTTTCGAAGAAGGGATATATATTCAATTAGGCAATACATTTTGAATGGAGAATATTTTTTCCTATTGAAATAAAGCCTCATAAACATACATGCATTGAGTGGACTCTGCCTAGAAGCTATTATTTCTGAACCACATGCATACCGGAAACAATTGTGAAGGAGAAAACATAGATCAGCGACATGATTAGAAATAACCACAGAAATTTCATGCAAACAGAAAAGTTGCTATTTTTTTTGCTAATTATCCTGTCAAGCGTATCCTAGTGTCATATGTCATCTTCAATGAAGCCTCAACTCTAATTCTTCTCTATCAACCTCTTTAGGTTTTCTTCGAACATGAATTGAGTTCATTCTCTAATGCTTGATCCTGTTTGAGAAAATACTTCAAATTATTTAGTGGACAGCAACCTATTTCAGTAATTCAAGGAGTGACTTGTTTTCCTCTCTTCTATTAGACTTCATTTTATATTGAGTTTTAACCTTGTCGATTTTTTCAAGGTTATAGTACAAGACGACTAGTTGTGAGAATAAGTAATACTTATTAAATTGCTTGCCTC